GTAAAGTACCTCGAAAAATTCACAGGGTTTCTCTTCCCGTCTGAATTTGCTACCGATAGGTGTAAGAAAAAAAAGCTCACAGAAATTTTTATGTGAAACTGGTCTATTCAGGTGTGAGACACGTGAAAAAACCTCGAAAAGTCCATGCGGCAAATGGAGACAAAAATCGCAGGATAAAAAGGGGAAAGTTACTGTTGAACAGGAAATAGAATGATGGTAGCGTTGTCATTGAATAAATAGTAGGATTTAACTAACTTGTCGTTCAGAAAGATATATAGAACGTGATAAGCACATCACGTGCTATATATCTAAATAACGTAACCGATTTGGAAAATTTTACTTTTCCTACTCTTATACATACATAATAATTTGAAATTATTCGAAGAGTGTCAAACTTAATTTACCGGTTTTTTTTTAATCTACGTATTTTCAGTCTTCCGAAACTGAAAAACCTCAAAAATATGGAAAACATTTTCATGGATATGTAAACCAGATATGTATGTATGTATGTATTTTCGTGTGGGGTTAGCTAATATTTTGGTTAATATCTTAGAATAGGGTAATGATAATTAAGAAACGAAATTTAGCCCAAAAGCTGTAGGCTATATAAGCGGCATTAATGCTATTAACTTTTATGAATAAAGCTCGACAGATTGGTAGATAGAAAATTGTCACGTATCAAGAGGGGTGGAACTTCATGAAGATTTTACTTGTTATTATTGCATACAATATTATATAATATTCATCACTACCCTCAAAATAAAGCCTTTTGCCGAATATAAAAAGGTTTTATAACAAAACTTCAGAATGTATGGCACCATACACTGTTTCATTTATTATTATTAATAATATAAAAGTTATTTTTAAAGAATACCTCATAACAGTCGGGAAAGATACGCAACTCGCTACAGGATTTTGTAATAATAAAATTTTGGCAAAAATCTCAAGTAAGTACAAAATCTCATTCCTTTGAGTTCTTATCATGCATATTTATTTCAGTTATTATTTTATTCTTTAAATATGATATTATGCGTTATAATATTTAATAATATATAACAAACACTTGCTGGTAAGATTGTGTCTGTTATGATGCTTAAATAAATAGAAATTTAAATTAAAGTCTAAACGATACAAGGTAAGCAGGAGTAAATATGGCAGCTGAATTTCATAAAATCTCGTATACTACGGTAACAATCGTAGATAGATAAAAACGCCTTCTAGCGAAACTATAAAGCCGGATGCACACATGCGGCGCGGCAAGGAAAAGCGGCAGAATGACGTCACTTTTTCTCGCCGCAGAAGTCGATTTTGTGCCGCTTTTCTCGTGCCGCAAAAGTTGGTTGAATTCTATCTTTTGCGGCAACGCCGCCAAGACGCGTTTCTATCAGCCAATAACAGTTTGTCTCGTAGTCACGTGAGAAAATACAATCACGTGGTGTTTTAATGGCGGAAAGTTCGAGGCGGTTAACCGACTGGAATTCTTTCGGATAACCGACGTTTCGGATAACTGACCTTCGGATAAACGACTCTCTACTGTATAATAGTATTATTTCAGTATCTAATTACACCAATTTAAAACTAGTATTCTCCGAGAGAATTTGCGACTGTTTTTTTTTTGTTTCTCTTAATGCTTTTGTGAATGACAATAAAGAGCTTAAAGTAATCATGAAAAAGATTTAAAAGTGAAATTAAGCCGAATTAAGAAAGATAACTAAGAGATAAAACACCGGATAAAACAATGACAGTTAATACAGGCTTAACGGAATCTACAGAAATTTCGACTACTCGAAGACAAAGAAACTGCCACTAACAGAATATAAAAACGACCGTTGTTCGGTCGTTTATAGAAATTATTTTGCATATATTTTTTAAAAAATTTCCGCAAAACTAGTCTCATTTTAGAGATTGCAGCAGTCGAACCTGTGGCATCGACAACAACAATTTCGCGAAGAAGATAGAAAGAAAACCATGGAAGAGATTAAGTTGTAATTAGACTGAACAAAGAAGGCGATGCAACACATGGGCGATCTGCCAAGAGGGAGGTGTATCCCAGAAGAATTTTCTATAAAAAAAACTGGCCTATTTAGGTGTTAGACACGTAAAAACAACCCTAAATATCTAAGTAGTGTGAGACCCGAAAGGCCCCCGGGTCTAATTTAATAATTTTATTAATTATGTTAAATATTGTCACCAAATATTACTTCATTTTTGGTGATATAAATACTGTTTTAACGTGGGAAAAGGCAGATAACAGATGTTACTTCCTTTGAGGGAAGTCCGTACATTCTCTATTTTTCCCTTATCCGCTAAAAATCTTACCCAGATGGGAACTATCTACCCCTCTTTGATTCCCCTTTTCATCCGTTCACATGAACGAGTTTCTAGCCGGTGATTGGTCGTAAATCCTAAGATATAAGGGAAATTTGTCCGAATTCGGGGAGTTCAGCGACAGTTCTGGAAGCGTCCAAAACTCCACACATTTTCCTCCTGATGACCAACGCCCTTAGACGAGTCACATAGACTAAGTCCCGAGTCTGTAACTTAGGAAATATACTTTGATTTTGTGCACATATTGATCTCCCATGGAAAGAAGTTAATGAACTTTAATTCCAAAGTGTCCCTTCCCTACAGAGAAGAAGACGAACGACAACAAAACCAGGTTGTATGTTTTATAATGATTCTGTGAGCACTCTCTCCCGATCGCGAATTAGGTATAAGATAAGCATAGATATCATTCGATTTGTATATTATTTGTAGTAGTTCTGTCTCTCGATCGTCCACATTTTTGTATGAGTTTATTTTCTTGTTTTATTAAATTTATTATTTCGTTTTTAATTAAAATGTCTCTTAATTTTGTGTCCGAATCAGATCTCATACGCGTGTTTGTCCGCGGATCGATAAATTGACAAACTGGTGTCAAGGAATCCTGACGTAGATCTAGACTACACAGCCTAGATCATCCTTAAACATAAAAGCCCTCCTATGAAACTTTTTAAGATCGGATCTCTCTATTCGAAACTTTGGAGACAGATTTCGGTTAATCTGTGCCTAGTAAGTGATACAGGCGAAATAAACCTACCCTGTACCCCAGGCTACTCTCATAGTAGCGCGCTAGCTCTTTGGTTAGGTACGAATCCACTACCGGTGTTCACTGATTTTATCCACTCTGCTATTGATGGGCAATCGGAAAACATGCAACAAAAATACCAGAAAAGAAGATATATATAAAAAGTGTTGAGTGAATCATCGTGGAAAATATGTGTAACGAAAAAGGTTAGTCTCCATAAACTTTTCGAAATGAAACAAAATCCTCTACACATTGCAAGTACGCGAAAGATTACAGTAAGGCCACTGAAAGGAATTCATAATCGAACCTATTCCTTGTTTTCTAAAGAATTAAGTTTCAAAATAAGTGTTTAGCTATGTAAAGATATTCAGTTACCTTTTGGATTCCAGTCACGTTGAGAAACGTTTCCATTTGTCCTGCGGCCGAAATATCCTCAGAATCTTCTCCTGAAAAAAAAAAAAAACAAAAACACAAAATTTCGGCGATTAAAACGTATTTATATTAAAAATTGAGCAAAATGAAAATAGCACCATATAAACAAGTAAATATTCTTAAATATTGATACATGAGTCGTGCTGAACTATATTATAACAGATAAACGATCGATCATAGACATATAAAAGATGTTTCGACTGACCCATTTTTCAAAATATTTGTACTAATAATCAAGTCGTGACTATTGACGATAAAAGAATTAATTAACACCGTTTCACGCGTGTTTCTTTGAGTGGGAAAACCTCGATAGTTTCATTATGAAGCCGAACGACTATTTTACTAAAGTAATAAATCGACCGTTTGAATGATATTCTCAGAAAATATTCATTATTACTTTACAAAAGAGATTCAAACCCTGGGCCGAAGATCTAACCGCGAAGAAAAGTGACGTATATTCTGTTCCGAAGACTTCGATAAACTTTTCGTGGAGAGCCGAGGCAAGAGAGATGGGTAAAGAATATTCTTCCAGGTATTTGACAGTTCTAAAATGAAATTCTTTTTAGTTTATTATTTAGAGGAGGCATAATATCAAAAGTAAGAATTTGCCACTTACTGTGAGCAAATTTCTTTGACATCTTCGCCAGATTTACCCCTGAGAAAACGTAATGAGACAACCATTAAATGTGATTTATCTTATAAAATAATATTATGTTTCATAGAATTATGTAAACTAGTCGAATTTTTTAAAAATTTTATCCGGGGATTACCAGGCAGCATCTTCCAATTGGTAAATTCGAAAAAGTAATTCTTCGTTTCTCATTAACTCTCGATACGCGTTAAAAGTCACTATGATTCCTTTCGGTACGTAAAACTAAAAAAATTATTTAAATGTTTATTAATTAATAAAAAAATATTTACGCCAAACATTAAAAATAATATTAATACAAATTTGTAAAAATCGTTTTCTTACGCTTTTCTCGATATCGGAAATTTGTTGTAAATTGACCAAAGAACTTCCTTTTCCCCCGAGAATCGACGATTGATTCGCTGTCGAATTTTGCAGGGACGTCACCAAAACGACTTCCACTCTTTCATTATCTGCGGTTAAAATTCGATAACTAACTAATCCGTCTTTATTGTTTAAATTCGAGACAAAATCAAAAATTTACCTTTGATCCGAGGGACGAAACGAGGCACGTGCTTCTCTCTTATCGTTTCCGGTCTTAACCTTAAATTTCGTTAAAAAAATAAATCATTTTTAGTATTCCCAATTCGAGTTCGTAAATTAATTAGGGATGCCAAACGATAATTAATATGAAAAGTCCTTTGTAGTATGCTCATTTATGCTCAGTTAGAAGTCACGTAGTATTAAACTCTAAGGCGAAAGGAATTCAAATACTCTTACGTAAATCAACACGCCTCTAAATTGTCTGATGCTGTATGAAGCTTTGTTTCGCATTCGGGAAGGCAAAAAATTTCAGAAATCTTTTGTTTGCAGTTTGTTCCGGGCACATCAGGCCCGTCCCTCAACAAAAAGCATCTCTTTTAATTATGGGCTTTATCAACCGATAATGGACGTAAAAATTGTCCCTCTTAGCGTCCACAATATAAAAAAGTTTTAGAAACTTTATTTAAAATCCAGGAAATCAAGAAGGAGAACGGGGAGTTTCATTTTGATTTAGGATGATTTCTACCCTTTTAAAATGAACATTACGTTTCCCAATAAAAAATTAAATATTTAAGCCATATAATCTAAGAACTTGTTAAATGGCTATAATCATGGCAGAAGAAAGGTAATACAATTTATATTTAAGACTTCTTTTTATTAATAAAGAAATAAATAAAAGGCTAATGCGATCTACTGTGCCTCCGGGCTTCATATAAGCTCTCAACGGCTCTATTTGTGATTGTATTAGGAGTTCAATAGGTTGCATTAATTTAAGGTGTTCAATTGATTTAGGTTAGACCAATCAGAAATCGAAATAACATGTTATTTTTATTATATTAGCTGCATTATATTATTAGAAAAACTGGAATATAATGTTTAATGTTTCAAATGTTGAAAATAAGCCTGACATAATTAATTTATGCGGATTCTTTCTCTGGTATTTCACGAAAACTAAGAACACTCGAACGCAGTTTTATCAGTAAATTACATCATCGAGTTTTTAACCAATCGAAAACTTTCGGAAGTGACCGAATACTTTTTTCGGAAACGGAACTTACTTGTGATAGAAGATGCAGAGGCTGCGTGCTTGCTTGCCGTTCAGTCTGGCCGAAGATAGTTGCAATTCAGAGAAGTAGGTGGACCCGATACTTGTCTTAGCGTCCATCCCGTTGATGTTCATCTTCCACCATCTCTTGTCTGAAAGATTACAATCGTTTACACTAATCATTCCGAAGAGTTATGAGGAATAGAGGTTTAGAATTCTTGGCCATCACTCCTTTATGAGGAAGAAATAATGAAATAGAATTTACTTACTCGCTCTTATTCGTGCCACTTTGACAGTGGGAGGGAGTCCGTCCAGATAGAGTCGACTCAAACTGACGTCAGAAACGTCGATCGGGTTAAGAACGCCACTGCCCGTCGTGACGAATCCATACTTTAAACTGTCCAAAACAAAATGAACTTGAAATTTACTAACAGCTCTGAGAAATTTACAACTTGAAACCTGCTCTGAGAGACCCGGAAGGTCGAAAACCCCAGGAAATTTTTATAGACAGTCTGACCCGAACATGTCGGTTCCCATCCTTCACCTCTGATTGCCCACATTATGGACTTGGCCGAATATATGATGGATATAAATATCGCCCTCTTAGTGCCCACGAAGCGGTAAGGCAAGTAGAATGAAAACAAAAGAATACTCACTCCGAAATCACTTCGGGGACGGTTAAAGCGCCAATGCTGACAGTCTCGCCTGTCTGAAAAATACAAATATCCACATTTATCAAGGTCAGAAGAAAATTCTATTTTTTCTCTGTTTTATCAGACAAAGGCGCGTATCCATTTTTTTGCCTCTCGAAGAGATTGATTAACGGCGAAGAACTAACAACAAGAATTGAAACACTCACCTTACTCAATCCAACGAGATGCAAATGCTGATAGGAGGGTTGTGTTTGTAGAGTCCCTGAAAAATCCAATAAATCTTACGTTAGACGACCGCCGAAATACAAAATTTACTTGAGAACCGATTGCAGTTGTCCAAATGACAGACATAAATTTGACTTATGTGCCAACAGAAATGCGACGAGAATTACAAACCGTTTCTATGAGCAAAAATCGTGACGTATATACCGCTTCTCTAAAGTTAAAACGAACCTCTTATGCATGCAGAATAACTACTTTCAACTTATGCAAATGCAGCCGGAAATTGTTGAGCATATCAAATAGTATAAACTGGTTCAATAAATTCTCTCATAATACAGTAATACCACTGTAAAAGAGCCGAGGCGGTAAAGACATAATCCAACTTTTCTGAGGAGCCTGGAATCGAATTCGGGTAGGGACTCCCTAGAACGGCTCATGTTAGTCCTTCACCAGCAGTCGCCCTCGTATAGGGCTGGGCACTAAACCTTTAAGTATTACTAGCGCAAGCAGGTTTCGATACTGCATGCAATTATGACAGAATAAATCCAAAACTGATTCTTACACTTTAACATCCAAATAATTAGGGACGACAAAAACAATATGAATTAATTAAGCTACCAATAGATAATGTTAAAAAATGGTTTTCTTACGGCGAATTCGGCTGACTGATCTAGAGTATTGGTAGAGTGCTCCGATTGCTCTTTCCTATTCTACTGGTAAAAATAGAAGAGTTATTTCGATCACTCGACGATTGTAATTAATTAATTACGATCTTTCGGACTGATGACCTCACAACCTACTTATGCTGGGTAGTGCACCCAGCCGAAATCAAAACGAATAATTTTTTAAATATTTTTCCTATGGTTGTAAACAACCAGTGGACTTTTGTTTTTGCAAATCTAGCAGGACTTCGAACTCCATAATGCAATGACTCGTTTTAACTTCATGTTTTCCATGCAAATTTCAGTAAGAATAAATTTCAGTAAGTAACAATTGTACGTTTCGTTCACAGGATAACGCGCCACTGCCACATTGGGGTCTAGTGAGTGACAAGCCCGAGATACCCATATAAACCATCCGCATTGTTTTTGAGAGTCACAAGTCTTCTGAAACTTTTCCTAGATTTCTTTCTAAGTTTTCTAACTAAGAAAGAAATAGATAAAAAAATATTAAGCACGTTGCCTGGTAGAACGCTGTAATAAACTTGCGAACAAATTTGTTTATCCGCATGGATTAATTAAAGCTGTTTTACCAGACAACGAGCCGATAAATGAGAGACTACAAAGCGAATTACCGTAACTTCTGCTTCTGGTTCCCCACAGATGCAGCTCCTCTTCTTTACCGTCCACGGTAACAGTTCCCATTAAACATCCGCATTGCTCGTATTTATTTAACATCGTCTTCAGTCTATAAATATTTAATTTATTTTCTAATTTCTGATAAAAATGTCTCGAAAACTTTAAAGTTAATCATTTAAGTGAATATGAGAAACAGAACAAAACTTTGAAAATGAAATATATTAAAATAGCCTAATTTTCGTCTTCATGAAATTGCAAATTTGTTATTGGCTTTCTGGTAACGTAACGCCGTTTTTTCCTCCGTGGCCATTTTCCGAACTAAACATTTTTATCGTTCCAAATAAAAACAAATAAAAGTTATATAACAGATAAACAATAAAATAAAAACTAGAATATTTTTTATAATTTTAAAGATAAATGGCATTAGTTTACCGGGAGAGTAGGCATAGTTTTGTTCTCCGAGACATTTCGTATCATATTGTCGCGTTTATTTAATCTACCCTAATATATAATATGTAATATAATATATCATATAATATAAATTAATAACTTAATATATAACTATTGTGTAAGTTCTTCCTATTTGCTAATTACTCTAAATGAATTATAAAAGCACAGGGTTTTCATTGATAGCAATACCTTGTATATATTTCGTTCTCCTTAGTGTTAAAGTTAATTGCTCGAACATTTTATTAATAATTGCAATTATTTTATTTTTTAAAATAAAATAAGAAGCGTACTACTTTGTAATGTATCATTAAAACTATTCATAAAATTTTTAATACCCAAAATATATATTATCGAATGATAGAAATGCTTATTTGATAGAATGATTATAACTTTCAGACAGAAATAAAAGAAAACTTTTGCTTAACGCTTCCTCAATGATAAGATAGGGCGTCTTCCTATATAGACCTAACATTGAAGAAAACATAAATTGGCCTGTTCTTGTTATGTCTTCGAAGAGTATTTGGTCAAATACTTCAACGCCAAAGTTCGTAAAGTTGTAGAACAAGAAGCTTCTTCGTGTTCAATTGAAAGACTAGTAGAAAGTGAAGCAACTGATGTAGCTTCAGGTGCTCAGATTACAGTTCTTGTTTCTCATATTCACTCCTCATCTAAATCAATCAGCAAATCCATTAGTACTCGGGACCAAAAATGTCTGAAGATTCTATTGCTGTTAAATTCAGAAACATTATTTCACGATTCGTTTTTGGATAAATTTTAACTCTTTGCATCCCGTAAAAACAAAAGCAACAGTAATAAAGACTAATAAACGTATCGAGAAACGCAACGAGACGATGCGCCGAGCCGAAGTAAATATTAACTCGAGATTCGAATTCAATCTTTTTACGGACGAATAATAACAAAACCACTCGCAAATAGTAATACGAGACAGAAGTAATCATCCTATACATTTATATTAGGCTTCTTATAATGTAATTGACAATTAATTGATTATAGCGGGCGTGACGCGCGTCGGACGCGCCGCGCAACAATACCTATTTCGTCTATTGTTGCGTTAACAATACTTGCTAATAATATAGTTTTGACTATTGTCAAAGCGAGATTTTTGTGGAAGTTATTCGATGCGATATAATTTTATACTTATTATTTTGGTCGAGATGAGTTTTATAAGTAAGTTTACCACTTCCTCTTATACATATTATTATATTCATTAGATCACCGCGGGTTAATTTAACAACTTAAATAAAAGCATCGAGTTAAATGTAACTTTTAGAAAATAAATGAAAATATTCTAATGTAAACTATGATAATGATCAATTCTGCACTTTCTCGTTTCAATGAGTTAATTGAGAGGAGAAAATGAATGACCGACTGCCATTAATTACATGTAATAATTATAAAATTATTATTTACAGATGTTGATTGTTATTGCATTGAAACTATTTTCTTGTACGAAGATGGTTTTTATGTTACTTATGATTATCAAATAAGTGAAAAAGTTATTTAAAATACAGTAAATATTATTCATACAATACTGAAAATAAATTATACAAGTGATGTTAAGATTGCTTAAATTAGAAACTAAAATTATATGAATACTTGATATTTTTATAACTAATTAATTCTGTTTCACCCTTTAGTATATGGCGAATATGGACTATATTCACCATTTTTTCCATATTAGCAAGCTTCTGTACCGCTTGCTTATGGATATCCAAGTCAATACGGATCGCCATTACAAGGATTTCAGACCCAAAATTATTGGTCACAGGCGGAAGTAGTTTTAAATGAACCTTTCCAAGAAGAGTAGCAGCGGTTTGAAGTGGCAACAAATATACCAGAATTTTCGCCACGGATAGAAATGGATGAAAATGAACTTCTAGAAGTTCGTTTCTTTCAAATGCGAACAAATGAATCGGAGTATCCTGTAGCCGAAACGTCGCTACATTCGATGCAACCAAATATGTTGCAAACTAATCCAGAATCGGAATGTGAGACTCAAGACGAAGTGTCCGAACATGAAATTTTTGTTCAAGATACAATAACAAATAAAGATTCTTAATTAGGAACTTGGGAAGATTTTTCTATTTCTACGCATCCACATAATAATGGTAAATTTACATTAAACTTATATTATTAATAATATAATAAATACATGAAACACAAACTAATGTATTAATGAATATATAGCCTACCTATATGAACAGTTGTATTAAAAATAACTGTTCATTTGGCTAACGAAATAAAGCAGGGGCCGTATCCCTACAGCCAATAGCCCACCTAGAGCCTGTACTATAACAGTTTAATTATAAACCCCTAGATAACTATTTATATAATATCAAGTATATAAATAAACATAAATAGTAAATTCGTCAGTACAAAAAAGTACAGTATAGATAATACACAAATACGGGTATAGAGAAAACACAGCCAGATATGTGGATCACGCCACATAACTTCTGTGTCTAATGTCCACAACTCTGGCTAATCATAATGGTATGTTTATCTATATCTATATCTATTCTATATTCTATATATATATATAAAAATGGACATGTANCATAATAAAATTCAAAGTTATAGCACTTTGTATACAGTAGAGTCCCGACAACTCGGCCTAATGTGGACCAAAGGATGGCCGAGTTTGTGAAAATGCTGGGTTATCGGAAACGGGGGTTAAAAAAAATAAGTACGAGTGTTTCCTCAGAAAATACTGCACTGTACTTGTATGTATTGTTTGCTTGAAAATACAACAGAGAATAAACTGCCCAAATAACCTTAAACAAAGGAAAAGTACGTACTTTATGAACGCATAGAGCCTTTACTACATGAAAATGAAAATTAATGAATACACAGTGTATAGTAATTTACCTGATAAGACAGACCTCAGAAAAATACTTTAAGAGGCATAAAGCTGTCTGTAATGAAAACTAACTGGGGATTTTTTCGCCCTGGCAGGGCAAAAAATCCCCAAGTTAGTTTTCATTATATCTCGGATATTATATAGTTTTCATTATACTCCGGATAACTCGGGTGTGGCCGAGTTATCCGGACTGCCGGGTTATCGAGTGCCGAGTTTTCGGGACTCTACTGTATTTCATAACATAAAATAAATTTCAGCAAAATTACAAATTTCGTTATAAATAATGCATATTTTTTTAAGTAATAATCTCATCTATAATATAATCGAGACGGGTTGATGATAATAATAATAATAATAAGTGCAGAGTGCAAACGGTTAGGAGTTGGAAGCTGAAATTTGGTACACAGTTAGGGTACGTCACGAAAACGCACACTAAGAAGGGATTTTTCGAAATGCCCTTCTAGGGGAAAGGGACAGGATTAAGCTTAACACTTCCATCAACAATGGAAGTGTTAAGTAACAATGGAAGTGCTAAGTAACAATGGAAGTGTTAAGTAACAATGGAAGTGCTAAGTAACAATGGAAGTGTTAAGTAACAATGGAAGTTTTAAGTAACAATAAAAGTTTTAAGTAACAACGGAAGTGTCAACAATGGAAATGTTACGTAACAATGGAATTGTTAAGTGAAAGCGACGTGCGATACGCAGATGCAGTTTTTTTCGTTTTTGCGGGACATCGAACATATTTTTAGACCCATCTAAAAATTCTCTAATTAGTCTGGAAACAAGGGGACCCAATTCTTGCATTCTGTGAAAACGGGTAAGGTTGACTGTAATGTAATAATTTTTATCTTAGTTATCGTTACTTTTGCCCGAGCAACGCCGGGCCCACCTGCTAGTTTTATTATAAAAGTGTAAGCAATTGTAACTTCTAATTTATTTGCTTTTAACATTTTGTATTGCTCCAAAATAAAGTTTATTGATTATTCTTTTTTCGTGTCATTGCTATACTTTAGAAGTGGAATCAGAACCTGAAATTTCTTGTACAAGTGATTGTTATGAAAATAATTCTGCATCTTTCAATAGCGAAAAAAAATGTGGAGCGAGTTAAACAAACTGAAACAACAATAAACCTAACAGAAAACACCCCAATTGACGTAATTTTGGAAGATTTCGATGTCGACAATGTTTTTATTGCTGTAAGTTTACATATGATTAGATTATTCTTTTCGGCAAATTTCTTAATATTTATATCGCTTGATAAATACAACATTGTAATAACAGTAAACATCATAAAAATCACTCGATCTAAATTGGCCAAATGTATTAGAAAATATTCTTAAAGGCTATTAAATAAATTTACTAAAAACTATCGAATACAGTTTTAATTGAATGTGGGAATTTACTAAATCTTAATAAATATTTCAAAATTAAATTTTAGTTTCCAACGAAATCCGATCTCCTGAATATGCCTCCTGCGTGGATAAAGGACGAATTCTACGAAAGACCACTAAAATGTGCCTTCAGATATTTAGAAGAAACTTCATTAGTTAGAGAAGTAATATACGAGGAAGAGGAATTTTATTATATCGAAGGAGAATTATCCGAACTATCCGAATGCGATGAGTTAGAAACGAGCACTACAATAAGTGAAGATGATAATGGTTTTCGTCCCAACGAAAGTTCTGATGAGGTCAAAACTGAAATTGACGTATCGTCACTAAATGATATCGGCAATGAAAACTGCGTTGGTGATGTATTTGAATCAACAATTGATGTTAATAACTGAACATCCGATTCATCAGATACAGATGAAATGATAACACCTGGCAATGGCGAAGAAACAATTCCAGTGATAAAATGTAACGGTAAGATACGTTATATTTATTTCTTTGATGCTTTTCTTCATTTGTATAACCAAACATTATTTTAATATGCGAAGAATTCTCAAATTTCTGGAATAGTTTACTCTAAAAATAATAATATGTTACTAGCTATAAAGCAGATTTATGTATTAAAATAGTTCTGACAAGTTTTAATACATTCTCAGATCCAATCTTAATTATACTTTATCGTGTTTGATGTAGCAGTTTATAGCTTCAATAGAAAATTTAATTTTTAAACAATAAGATTGTCTTTTCTTGCAGAAGAAAGCCAGGAAGGAAACAAAGATCCAACAAAGAATAAAACTGAGAATTTGACATACGAAATTCATATCGAAGAAGCGAAAGACGTCGAAGATAAATGTTTCGTTGGAGCAGAAATCATTTCGGAATCTGCTAAAAACGTAAAAAAACAATTATTTATTTCTACTTTTGTCGATATTTATAAATAATATCTGTAAATTAATATTATAACTAATCATTTTATAAAATTCACATTTCTAAATCTGCAATAATATTGAAATACTGTAATTAATCTGGTTGAAAATATTATTAATATTAATCTAAATTTACAATTAATTTACTAATTTAAACTGTTTGAGATTTTGTAAATGAACTATATTTAATATTGTTCGTGACAATTAATCATTTTTATGTAAAATTATTTTATTTGAGAACGTTCAGAAATGTTACCACTTAAAATAAATTTATACAATTAAGTAATATTATTAATAACACTTAGAAATAACAATGCGTGTCTTTCTAATAGCGAATTTTCATGCCATTTCTAATCGTTTGATTATTTTGTGGTACAATTTCATTTCTTAATTAATATTCAAAATTTATACAATCACATGTATTTTATTTACGTTCATTCTTTGAATGAATTGTTTACTAATTTGGAATGTTTTAAACATATTTACATCGAAATATTTGTAAAGTTTAAAAGATTTCTTTAATTGATGCCGAATACAATTAAATATTTCTGCAAACAAAAAACACTTTATATATAAGCCTATAATATTTTCTTTTCTATATTAAGATATTTGAAAACTGTTTTATATTACTTTTGATTTATTAAAATATTTATGCTTTTAATTCAATTCAATAAACGTTATTGACATTTTCAAATTCTGTGTGATGTTTTTATTTATTTTCTGATTTATCACTTTATATTACACAAATGATGTAAATTACTTTACTGTAAATAAAATGCAAGCAGAAACAATAAATATATTTTCAATTGAAAGTGATGAGAAATGTCTGATATATTCTTGTATGTTGAATGTACTGTCGCATGCACTGCCACTTCTCCATTGCCTGTAGGGCTATCGCTGTCTTAGATCATTCCGCTGTGAATAATTTATTTTTCGTATTAAACCAATTGTTTCCATTGGCCACTATAGACGATTGTTTCCAGAATCGGGCCGCTTTAGTTTTATGTTAAATATGTAGTGAAGGTGGTAATGCGGTCTGGTTTATTCCACTTCTTGCAGAGTCGTAGGACAGGTGAGTTATCTGTTCGGGTCAAGCAGCAATGTAGCACGATCGGCTCAGACGTGTTCAAATTGAACATATGTTTAATTCTGAAATGCGATCTGTCTTATTGTAATTACGGCAATATAGAAGCGATATAGAGGATTTGTAGTATAAATGATTAATTAATTAGAATAATTAAAAAGGAAAATAGTATATTTGAAAGAAATAATTTAAAGATTATTTACCTCAGTAAAATGTAAAAAAGTAAATAATAAATTTGTAACTACCAAGAGATCAATTGCTGAACATCAGTGTTAAATACGTAAATTAGTTATTTCACAATGTTACTTGTTCTATAATAGCCAAGTAGAAAAAGTATTGAGCATTCGTAGTCAATGGCACATGGCGTTCACCGGGTATTTTACATATCTACTCTCCTTAGATTATGTCTGTATTTTTCTTGGAACTTTATTTTCCTTCCCCTCTTGTCCAAGTTTTCATAACCCCCTCTGTTTTTCGGATGTCAAGCAAAATTCGACCGCTTTTACAATCTTTATTACATTATGAACGAACATACAAAAAATTTTGAAATAAATATAATAAAAGCATAAACTGTATAAACTTTAATGAAATAAACAAACGTCCACGGTAGCTCCACCCTGTTCTCCCCCTTGTATGACTTTATATGGTAACCCTGTCTGTCCTTTCCAGTGAGGAGGTCATTTATGGACAGCCCTCAACACTTAAATAGGGACCAATTTCCCATAGAAAATCCTCCCAAAAGATACGATTCCAAAGAAAATCCTTTTTTGGGGGGACAGTTCGTGTTGCGTTTTCTTATTCCATCCAATCGACTTCATTGATTTTAACAATCTTTTTTTTTTGTTAAAATTTTTTATTCAGAAAATGCCATTTTTCGCATCCAGAATGCACTAATAGAAAGGCTAACTTAAAGAGCCTATAATGAGATAATGGTCAAACGGATAAGTGCCATGATGCCTTTTCCAAACTGCTTATTTAGCTGCAGCCATGTACAGTACAGTACAGTACAGCACTAAACTAAGTTGGGAAAACAAAAGTAATGTAGCTCTTACTTAAATGGAAATTAAGATTACATCACTGTTTTAGATAATATGCGCATCGTTGCACTTCTACTCCAACGAGCATTTTACCTTCTCGGCTGTTAGGGAAAGAATGGAAAGTACGTTACAAACGACTTCCAAATATTTTTGGACTTAGGACACCTTGAAACATGGAGAAATGCAAAAAATTCAATGTTCATACATACAGAAATTCAATGTAAACATTCATACATCGAATTATTTTTTGTATGTATGAATGTTAGTATGTGGGAGACATGATTTTCTTCACCGCGTTTGACGTTTAATAACTCATGTACTATTTGTCAAAAATATCTGAAATTTTGCAGGGGAAGTTTGTGTATTAGAGAATTAGTACCATTAAATTTTGGTAGTTAAAGTTAGGGAGGATGGGGAGATAATGGTAGTTCTGTGTATCTCTAGTAGGGTCAGACTTAATGACGATTTTACTTATTATTAGAATTTACACTTTCTTTAAAAATAAAACTCATCTTTACCCTCAAAATTAAGCTTTTTGTCATTTTATAATAGTTTAGAACGCTTTATATTTTTAAGTGACAAATTATTATAGCAGATGCATCACCAAATATTGCCGGGAAAGTTAAGCAACTCGTTGTTGATTTTTTTAACTTTTATATTTACTTTATCATATACGTTTTTTAAATATCTAAATGTATCTTTAGGTCTACCCCTTTTTAAACAACATCGAAGGTTCCGAATCTCTTCAAAAGTTGAACAGATTTTTAACTTGTTTTATATTTACACAAAAAATCTCTTATTCAGTGATGATTTAATTATTAATGCTAATTTTTATAATTTCCAAGAATGGAGCAATTTTGCAAAGTGAAATATTTTTCCAGCAGCTTTCACAGTGGATGGCATTTTCCTCCTAAAGATGTGGATAATGAGTTTACTTATTTTTGCAATGTTTGACAGTCACTTAAGGAACACAATGGAGTGCTTGAAACATGAAATGAGATATTTAAGATATAGATCATAATGATAATGAAGCGAAGATAAACACTAAGCAAATAGCAGTAATTGTTATGGATATGCCACATAATACTTGAATGCAGGAGACGATTGTTAGCATTACTGTAAAAACAAAACTGAAACCTATATCAGAAATTACAGAACGATTGGACATTGCATTCTGTCATTAGTTGTTGCAGTGATTTTTAGCCATGAATGACCTCTTGAAAAAAGTCAAAGCTGCCAATAGAGGTCTCAATAACTCTCATTATAAAAAGTAATTTTATTAATCCAAGATCTATATACAGTTGACCCCCTATAACACTGTTGATTATTCCGTTTTATATGAATTCCATGTTGTACGAGTCACTTAGATTTTACAAATACGTGAGCCATCCACAGCCCAGCACACGTATTCGTAAAATCTAAGTGACTCATACAACATGGAATTCATATAAAACAGAATAATCAACAGTGTTATAGGGGAGTCGACTGATTTACTCAGTTCTAGGCAAGGTTTTGTATACTGATATATTTTGTAACTTTATTCTAGTTAATTAAAGAAAAGATTATGCAAGTTTATACCCACAATGGAAAAACTCACGGATCACCTAGCAAATCACACACATTTCAAAGTACCCACACAAAGTGTTTAGAAAATATCAGGTTATTTATAAAGTAGAAAAAATGTACATGTTTGCAATTGTAACTAGTAATTGACTAAATAAGCTAATTACATCATTAGTAATGGTAATTACCATTTTTCAAAATATAATTTGTTTTATACGTGGAAATTAAAAGTACTTACTTTTCTACATCAGGAAGATTAGTTTTCCACTTTTCTGCAGCTATGGCCGAAGCAACTAGATCGACAGGAGTGTCGTAAAATAAGTCGTAGACATTGCTGGTTGAATTCCATCTGTCAAATATTTCATTTTATTGTGAAAAATTGAAAATTTACATTTTTGTTTTTTAAGTATAAACTATTAGGGAAGGAACCAACATAACTTCTTGTGTGAAGAAAATTACGAACACGTTAGTTCAAAATCATATTTGCTCGGAGTTGTGCCGTCCATAATTCAAACGAGTGGTGAAACGAAGTATCTAAACCAGTGATTTCCATTTTTTTTAACTTGCCTATCTAACTGGTGTAAGACTTTAGTTTATCAGTTAGGTAGCCAGTATATAATCGCGTATGAGGAATCTGTCACTTTCTGGAAAATCACGGATTTAGGTTAAAAATATTCGAATTTTTTACTCCAAAAAATTTTTTATTTATTTTCAAAAGATGAGTTAGAGAAAGAAACTTTTGTTAATCGGCTAAGGTTACATGAAAACAAAAATGGATACTTACGTAAACTGGAATTTCACGTGGGTTACAATCAGCGGATCCGTTGCAGGTACAGTACATTCCTGTGAATATAAAATTAAATATTTTATAATAAGTGTCGAAGCCATTATCGAAATTAGATTTCGTCTTTCCTGATTTCAAGATCGTATTTTTCGCACCAGTTATCGGTGCTGTTTATGTTACTTCCAGTCTCTTGCTACTTGGCCACCTGTATTACGCACCTGGTTGTACCCACGATAAGTATGATTTATAAACCCTACTTAGTTTCCTCACAGCAAAAGCAGCAAAAATAAAAACACCTAAAGTCAGTTCGACAGTAAAATTGGGTGTGCTGTTTCATGAAAAACATCTCAACTTGTATTCGGTGACGTTATTTGATCACAGTATTTGTTAATTGTAAAATATATTTCTATTCCTATTCAGTCTATTTTCTCAACAGACTTTCGTCACAAAATATTAAAACCACCCTAAACTATATATACACAACTTTTTAACATTAACGAAACTATTTTACATTTACACAGTATAAAATAGAAGTAAATTTACACTGCTTTAATAATATTTTAAAAAAGGCTTACTTGAGAAGTCCATTGAACACAATTCTCCAGCGACGCATGGGACTCAGACACCTGACAAACAGACCGTCAGCTGCGAAACATTGTTCCGTGCCGACATAATTGGCGGTGGTGGGTTGATGCAACAGAGAATAACATCGACCATCTTCTAATTTCAGGTACAACAAGACATCAGCAAAATCGTCTGCTCTTCGAATCATATACGTCACAAGACATGCTCCCTTAGAATTGACACTGTAGAAGGCGATCTCGTCGCTCTTCTTTACAAAAATATAAAAAAATTACAAATTTATTCAGTTCACTTAAACTATGGTTTGAGCAAGGTTACATAAAATATTTTAACAACTGCAGTTCCACTTATTCCAGTCCTGTTAAAATTCTCAAATATTTCTACAAATGTTTCGACTCTTTTTTACTCTTTCCGCCCATTATGGATTGGACCAGGTCCACAATAGGTCGGACTAAAATACTTATTCCTCGGAACAGGATGATGAGGAATTAATGTATTGAATAAGATACGTTTGCCTCTTCCATGAACCTGGGACAAACCCAGATGGACATTAAAATATTTTCATAGAATTACTACTTACCTGTGAGGATGGATGGTAGGAACGAGGTAATTCATATTTCCATTCTCTAGAATGAGGCAACATTCCTAGTGACACAACATCGTTTTTAACTTCTCCATATATGTCTTCTTTGCCCTTCCTGTTTTTACCGATTAGTCTCAGCAATTTTATATATAAGAAGGCCAAAGCGTATTTTGTTGAGAATACCAAACCTTCGAAAGAAACAAATAAATTAGTAATATATAGAACGCAGGAGCTAAAGAAAAATAATATTATCACAAATTAGTAATAACAAGACTAAATATGTTTAAGCGCTTTCTCAAAGGAATACGGTATTTAATATATCTAGGAATTCTACACTATGTTTTAATATGCCACCGTCTTCAGCCATTTTGAGTCACAATTCTTACCAATTATCTATACCCCTCTTGTGCCTGGCAAATCTCCGAGGAGTCTTAAAACTTTTCTTTTTAGTATTTGCAAGATAATAAGATTAAAAATATAATGAACGATCTTGATCTTTAATTTAAGGGATGAAAAATATTTATAATTACGTAATGAATGATATTTTATCTATTAATTTTAAAAAGTTTTAATGATGAATTAAATATTTCCAATAATAAGATTATTTAGGTACTGTTCTACGTTAACTTTGATACAACGTTCCTAAGCATTAACACCTGGTAAATACAGACAAGCGATAATCGTTTCTGCGTAGAATCTGTTGCCTAATTAGAACCAATACTGGAGTGTCCGAATTAAAATATAACAACCTACATTTCCCTCCGGAATAGATTGAGAGGAACACAACACAACACTTAGACAATCTGCCAAGATGGTGCCATTCTTATTACCTATCAGTTTTACTAGTTTTAGCATTTACGCTTGTATCATTATGAAAGTAAATTCTTAAATATTGTTTTTACACGTATATAAGCATGCTTGTAACATTCAAATTTGCTGCTGTATGTGAGAAACCGGGAACGTAGTACTAAGTTCACGCCACTTACTGGCCTATTCCGTGAGAATAGTCTCGGTGTTTCGGATCTTGTGATTTGATCCTAATCAGGATTTTGACCGGGAGGACTTTTTAATATTAAAGAGGATATAGACGGCGAAGTCTTTATCCCACGTCAGGATTCCTATGACACCAGTTAATCAGTTGTTTTACACGCGGATTAACACGCGTGAAGTGATCTACGGATTTGGTTCAGAGAGTCAACACGAGACATGTCTAAAAACAATAACTACAACGATTTAATAAAGTATAAGATAAGTAAAAATACAAATAAAACTTAATACAGGGACGAATGGTTAAATATACTCCTCTAACTAGAGAACGATTATTCTTAACCTATACAAAGTCGAGAGAGAGAGCTCACAAAATCATTTATAAACATACAACCTGATCGTTGTCTTTCCTTTCTTCTTCTGTATTTGATGTATATGTCTCTCTATGGTAATAAGCCTTTGTATTCTGTATTGCTCATAGCATAGGCATTAGCCTTTAGGAGCTTGTATGTACTGTACTTCGTCTTAATGCTCGGGGTCTGTTGACGAATTCCCAAGGGCGGTGTGGAGCAAATATGGGAGACGTCTATCCTCTATGATATTTTTCTGACGAACTCCTCGATTTTCTGAACTTCGCCTATATCTTCTGATTTACGACCAATTAGCATTCGAGGCTTCATCCACGTGAACAAATAGGAAGGGAGAAGAAATGGGGGTAAACAGTTTCCATCGAAGCGAGATTTTTAGCAGATAAGGAAAAAACAGAGGATGCTCATACTTCTGTCAAAGGAAGTGACTCTCCTAGCTGTTTTCCCACGCTAGAAAAACGTTATTTTCCCATCAAAAGAAAATAATATTTTTCTAAATTATTATTTTAGACCCGGGGGCTATTCGGATCTCACATGTACATATTTTTATCGTTTATTTATTTACAAAGGAAAGAAGCACGGGTCCCCTGAGCTACATCTGGTTAATTAATTTTCACTTAGAAACACAAATAGAGACGTATAGAGGCGTGTAAGTTAAAATAAACATAAGACGTCTTCTTTTTTAAAGTATTTAAAGTATTATGTATATAAAATACAGTACACAGTTCAAAGTCCAAAATTTAGAGCGGATGCATGCTTCTATTCAATTACGTTGCCATTATTCCCTCAGACCAAAAAGCCCACCAGTGAGTCATTCGATAACACCACTAAACATTGGTCATGTGTTCGCGCCCAAATACCGGGCCGACCATGTGGACTTTTGCAGATTTCATTCACGTGTCTCACCGGTACAGTTTTCCACAGAAAGTTTTCTCGGAAAGTATTTTCTCTTGGCACATCGCCCAAAATTACGTTGCCTTATCCAATAAAACCTATTATTATTATTATTATATTTTTTCTCATCGTAACTTCAGCCAGGTTCACTAGTGAAAGAGCAAAGTGGGGACGGACGAAACTCGACATATTCAGCACTGATCGTCCATGAAACTTTCGAATTCAGGTTCTTTAGATAGCCTTAACCCTCGATCATATTGAAGACGGTAATTCGATATTTTATTTAAAAACGTCCCAAATATTACTTTCACGATTTATATAGGACAAATATAGATATTCGAGTGTTGATCAATCGATCGATCGATAAATGATTTGACGTCACAGAAATATTTGTTTACTTTTTACGAAAATGTTTTTAAGTAGAAATTATAAATGTTGGATATATTATATTTTTTTCTTTTGTTTATAAAGTATGGAACCTTTAGAGTGAAGTATTTGTTTCGTATATGGTTAATTGGCCTCCTGCCCCTAACGTTCAATATCTGGTCTCGTCTTTTATCTATCGAACTTCGTTTATCTATTCTCTGTTTGTCGATTATAAAACTTACACACGTTTTACATAAGTATAAACTCCTGTATGACGTAAACAATGCCTTTTAACAGTAAATTTATATAAATCGACCATTTACTGACGTCGTTGAAAGCAAGAAACTATTATATATATAATCTATCATTTATCCTATTTCGATACATAGAAGACCTTGAAAAGATAAAGTTAAATTATTCACTGTGTCAAGAGTATTATATAATTCTACACGATATCATTCCAATTAACTAGAAATTACTAGCAAGAATTACATCCAAAAAGAACGTAACTTTTTTTAAAATAAACAGATTATAATATTATAAACATTCAGATACATCAATATATTAGTATTTGTAATCAACTCTACTAATAATAATTTATATTACATTCCATTAATAAATTCAATAAGACAGAGATAAACAGAAGACACAAATAGATAACAGAAAATGATGGACAAACTCTCATATAACGCTTCTCGGAGACGACTAAAGTATACTTTTCCAAATATATTCTTACAGTACAGTACATAAGAGAGGATCGAGCGATGAAAAACGTTTTTCTGGACGTGTTTATATCCTACAACGTCAAAGTCCAATAGACATTCGACCTCGTCGTAACGAACAAACTTCACCCTTATCTTCGCCGATCCGATTCCGTTACTAATATTAATTAAATTGAATACAATCAAGACTTCGTCATTCGCGTGTCCTTCGTAAACAATTTCGCAATGTCGAACGATTTAATTCTCGTGGATATTAATTTCAAACTACTTTTAATCGGCGTTAATTTCACATCTAACGGCTGTTATCTTTACGCAACTCTTCGCAACTTCCGGTCGCGAATCCTAATTTTTGAGTAATTGCTGATAAACAATAGAATGTTATCGAGAAGAACGCCCGGAAGATGTTTTATTATTATTTTTTTTTATTTCGACTACTTCGCTTTATTTCTATTAAACTGTAACGGCTGTTTCAATGGCGTAATCTCCATTAATTGTGTTGCACAACTTTGTGGCAACCTGTTATAATTTTCCTTTTATTATCTTAGCACGCTTACAACGTTTCTACATCACTGCGTGACTTTTACCGTTTTTACGAATTATTTAAGTTCTAGTAAGGATCGAAAATAGAGGGACATTACAAATTTTCGTAATTCGTGCGTATTTATAAGTTAACTTTTAAATTTACTTTACAGATAATAAGAAGGAATGATGCGACGATACCTGTACGAGTTGAATTCTGGTCTGCGCCATCTCGCACAAAGAGACAATGTACCAAATAGATCGCTATTAACAACACCACAGCCCAAACGATTTCCATTTTTTTTCTAAGCGAACTTTGTTGCGCCGTTCCTAAATAAATAGCGACAGTGACGTAGTTAATCGATCTATCACGCGTCATTTGTTATTAAGCGATAACGAGTTTCGACCTTTCCATAATTAAATCTGAACGAATGTCAAATTTCTTGGACGATTAAGCGAAAAACACAGAATGGATTAAGGCTTGAAGGTGTTTTCCAGTGTAAAATCGTGTATTCGAATAGTAAAAAATCTTCAGGAATTTTTCAGAAATTAACTGTTGCCAAATATCTCACGGGCTTTATCCTTCTCCAGTGACCATTCTTTTTGGGGCCTGACCGAACCCATTTTCCATGTAAATGAAAAGGTCCTCTTAGTATTCACAGGGATAGAACAGACTATACGTGAGTAAATATCGACAACTATAAGAATAATTCGCGTGTTTAATAATAGTAATAAGAAAACAATTCTAAGGTGAAAGCGTAATTATTTGTTGTGGAAAAATGTATTTCAGATGATATTTTTAATTAAATCTATTTAAAAAAGGATAATAACTATTACTCTTTACTCTTTATATATATATATATATTTTTTTTTTTTTATCGAAGTTGGCTATTTTACTACTAAAATTATATTATAAATATATATAACTTGATAAAGCTTTGATAAAAATATTAGTTATCTCTCACTTTCTTCACTGTTCATAGGAGGAAACATTTTTTAATACCAGTTCGTCGTTGTTAACATTTTCACTTGGAAAAAACAGTGGAGGTAGTACAAAATATAACTGATTTTTAAGGAAAATTTAATATAATAGCAGTTTAAGCCTATGGAGAGCTGCAGCCTCGCGGCTTGTCCACGAAACCTAACCTATAAACTGGCCGTAAAAGCTTTCTGTAGAAGAGAGTCGAGTTTGATAACTGCTGACACAACCCTGAAATTTATCTTAGACAAACTAAAAAGCCGGACACAAGCCAGGACGCAAAAGAATCAGAGAACGGCATCTTATCGAAGTCACAGGGATGCTGATTTACGTACAGAACCCGAAAAACTATAACCAAAAAGTTAGAAAGCACGATTATTCTTTCACAATACCGAAAAAAAATGTAATGCGCCAGGAGATGAAAAATATGCTGAATCGAGTAAATACAAATGTAGTAGAACCAACATCAATAGCTGAGGATATTATAGAAACGGAAAACGATGATCCAGATAACCCGCATTCATTCCCTGAATTTCACATTGGAATAAGAATCGGAGATCCAACTAGAGCGTGAGAAAGAAAACTTTATGAAACGAAAAGAAACTAGTACTGAGAAGGATTATGATAAGTTATTAAAAAAGGAAATGGCTGTTTATGAACGTGAGGGAGTCAAAGGTAAAAACTTATCTTTAATTTATGATTATTTGATGACCCTGAAACCAACTAGCATAGAGGCAGAAAGAGCCTTCTCTGCAGCGGGATATATATGCAGTTCATTAAGAAGTAGGTTGGGAAACAACATCATCAATACCATTTGTTTCTTAAGACCCAACTTTCAGAAAAGTAAAAAAAATAATAATAATAACAGAACTGATTGATTTAATTTTATTTAATCCTTTAAAATACTTTATTCAAGACAAGACTAATATTTTATAACTTCTAATTCTGTTAAGTAAGAGTTTTAAACTTTTATTCTATAAGTGGGTAGTGGGCTAGGCTAGGCAATTTTATTGTTAAAATTAGTGAGACACTGAGACTACCTAGTTCGTTAAATAGTTAATTAAATTAATGAGTATCAGTATCTTAGATATATGATGATACGAATGTATATCATTCATAATTGTGATAATAATAACTAACTACTAGACTACTACTAATTACTTACTCACTACTTTACTAACACTAATACAGTAGAGCGTCGATTTTCCGAATCAATTGGGGACTGGGGTTGTCCGGATAACTGATATTTCGGATAACTGATTTACGTACGAAAAAATAGTTTAACGTATCCGAAGTCGAAATTTTTCTCCGTTGCGTGTCGCTTCGCGTTGAATTTTCGTTGATGTTAAGCCTAGCAAAGACTATTGTATCGTTAAAAATTATTTTTTATTTTGTACAAACAAAATAAATATGTTGAAAAATATAAAAACAACAAAAAATATACTTCAGATGTTAATTTAGTATCAAAAACGTAAAATATTTGAGTAGCCCAAGACATAACCAAAGATTGAAGCGCCACAGCACTGGCGAAAATTTAAATTTGCCGACTGGAATTCTTTCGGATGATTGACTTTCGG